CCATCCTGGGTCTCTTTATAACTTCCAGTGGCTGGTTTCTTGGGAGTATGCAGTTCGGCTTCATCAGTCTTTATTGCTACCTGCTGCCTCCCTCGACAAATCGGGCTCCTGACTCAGCCTCAGGCACAGGAGGCCAGGCCCTCAATGGAGGGTCAGCTATCTGTCGCCTTGTCTCTGGGAGATGCCTGGAGGAGAGATGAGGAGAGGGCACGGTGGGGCAGGGGAAGGGGAGGGTGTGCCGTCTTTCAAGACACCTCACGAAGGACAATCTCTCATAAGACCAGGGCTTCATATCAAACTGCAGCTGGTATCATTAGGTCCAAGATGAAGAAGTCTGGGAATCATCAGTCACTCATTCCCTTTGGGAGCTGCTACCCTGAAGCACTTGACCCTCAGAAGCAGCTAATAAAGAAACACCCAGAAAACTGCAGGTGGCAAAAGTACCCTGTCATCCCTCGTCTTCTCCCAAAGACGTCCAGAATGAATGAGTCGCAGAAGCTGTCTGCAACTCATTCTCTTGGGTGCTTTCTGCAGCTGCCTGGCCCCCACAGAGATGGCTACCACCTGGGACAATGAATCCTCTGAATATCAACGACGGAGTCCGGCAGTGTAATAACTGGTTAGTCAGTGTGGGTTCTGCTCTCTGGGCGAGCACAGCTCGCTGGTGAACAAGAAGCATCCTTGGAGCGAGGCTGTCCCGCACAACACAATCCCCCAGCTAGGCAAGGGCACCAGCAAGAAAACTTGAACAAGTTCAAGTCCCAACTTGATGAGCAAGCAGGTTTCAGTGAAGACAGTGTTGTGATTTCATTCCGCAGCATTGCAGAATGGTCGCTTCAGGATGAATACGAACTCCACTTCCTTCCTGACCTGTGACGTTGGGTCAGTAACTTAATCTCTCAGCCCCAGTTTCTTCATCTGTAAAATGGGGATCATAATAGTCCCTACCTTATAGAGGATTGTGAAACTTAAGTGAAATAAGAGAAGTAAATTGCTTTGCCCTAATTGACGAGGCCTGGAACATTATCAACGCACAATAAATGCCAACTGCTATTATTATCATCATTTTCATCATTGTTACAAGCTAGTCCATCACATAGCATACAGCAATAGCTCCCAAAGCTACCCTTCATCGAGACTCAGTTCTCTAAGCACCAGCCCCCATGCTACGAAATTTACATGTATTTCTCATTTTGTCCCCACTACATCCTTGCTGGGGAGAAATAGACACAGGGGGGTTGGTGACTTGCCCAATGACATGTCAGCCGCTACTCATTTGCTATAAACCCAAAATCACTTCCACCAGCCAGTAATGAATGATGATGAATAATTACTCCTTCCATCTAGGCGGCATTTTTTCATTCTGAGCTGGGATCAGAGAAACCCTACAAGGAGCCACAGGTACACAGCTTGTTGGACCAAAAATGGCCCATGCATGGAGGGCATCCTATCAGACACCATGGGAGCAACATGGCATGCTTGAACAGGACACGGAATAAATACAGCAAGGATGGAGAGCTAAGTCCACTGTTGTCTGCTTCTCTGGGAAGCATCCTGAGTCAGCATCTTCCACGTCGAGCAGTAGTCGGATAACTTGTGCTTTGTCCATGGCTAATCTTAGAGACAGATTCCTTCGTAAGCTGGGGCCCCTGCCACTCCCCTCTCTCCCCTGCTCGTCACCCTCAGACCAGGGAAGTAGGGTAACCCCCTAGAGGTGAAGTCCTTCTCACATCTTATCTGAGGTGGCTAGGCACCCTGAGGGTCCAAGGCTCGGCCACTCTACAGCCAGATCTGCCTAATGCTGTCTCCAGGCATCACCATCAGGGCTAACAAGATGCGTATCACCACCCTTCACGGTGCAGCCATGGCCAGAGCTGACAGCGACAAACGGGCAGACAGACTCAGCCTGGCAGGGACGCAGCCTCAGGGGCTCCCTTGGCTGGGTCAGTGGGAGGAGGGCTGGCTCTGGGGCCAGAGGCAGAAAGTTCTCTTCTGCAACTCAGCATGGTGAGAGGACGGGATTATTACAAACAAGGGGGAACCAGCATCCGCAGCTGAGTTCTCCCAACAGCCCCGCTGGAGTCTCCAAAAGCAGCATCTAAGTGAGTCAAAAGATTTGCCTGGGAAAAGCTCACTGGATAAGCCTTGGAATCTCAGAGTTTCTAAGCTCTGGAATGGACCCTCACGGAGTCTTTTACTGTACACTTGGGGAAACTGAGACCCAGATAGAGAAAGAAACTAACTTCAACAAAGAGATGGAATGTAGGCTAGACTGGATCTGGACTCAAAACCTATAACACGGGCAAGATCATTCACCTTTCTGAGCCTCAGTTTCCTTATGTATAAAATGGGAATAACAATGCCAGCCTCAAAGATTGTGGTGAGTCTTAACTGGGACAAGGCAGGGACAAAGGTCACACAAGCAATTGGTGGCAACACTGAGACTCCAACAGAGGGTGTCAGATTTCCTAACCTGGAGCCTGTCCCAGCAGGCTGCCTCTGTCTCTGCTATTTGTCAGGATCAACGGAGAAGGGACTGGTCCGTGGGGCTCCAGCTAATATTCGGGTTACACACTCATTCTCCCACTGAGACCCAAATGCTAACTTTTCTCTTTCTGGGAGATCTCTTTGCATACAAAGACCAGGACTGTCCAGAGAGGCAATTGTGTGTCTAGAGCCTCTTAGTTCCAGGAGCTGATTTTAATTAAGGACTTTGCTCCTGCCCTAGACAACAGAGAAAGAAGCCTCTCCTCTCCGATGGAGACCAGGGCAGGCACAAAAAGTTGGGAGCCACGGTGAGTCCTCACAGAACTCTTTGGCAGGAGAATGGGGGTCTAGATGTGCAAGTCTGTGATTTTTTAAGCAGGCTGGAGACACTTCTACACTGGCCAGAACCGCAGTGCATAGCTGCAGTCAAACCCCCAGGGGTGGCCATGCTGACATTCGCTCAGAGGATGGAGATGCCCAAAGACAGATGGATGCTGGAGGCAGCTGCCCAGCGTCCTGCCAAGGTAAATTCCAGCACTGTTAGGGCCGCGGGGAAGGGGGGTGAACAGACAGCCACAGTCCCCAAATGAATCAAGGAGCCAGAGGATCTGAATGCTGCTTGGGAAAAGGAGCTAATAAACATCATAATGACAGCTACCATTTATTAAGCACTTACTGTGTGCTGGGCATTGTGCAGATGACTCTGACATCCATGAGCTTATCTAATCCTCACAACCATCTATGAGGTTACCTATTGTCCCATTTTACAGACGAAGAAACTGAGGTTCAGAGAAACTCGTAACTTGCTCGAGGTCAGGCACACTGCTCAAAAGAACCAGAGCTGGGATTGGAACCCAGACATCTCCCTCCAGGGCCATGACAGCCTGCCGCGCTCTGCTGCCTTACACATTTCATATGTCACCACCCCTCTTTCTCATCCGGGCTCACCGAGCCACCCTCTGACTGCCACGTAGGTCCACCATCATGGAGCATTTTTGGCCTCTCTGACAGCGATTTCTCCTGACAAATTAATAAACTGGCCTCTGGTGTTGACGTGTGTCATGAGTGCTATTTTAGTTTGCTTGATTCAGGGCCCTGTGCCCCCAGGGCACTGAGACAAGCCAGACTCCGGAAGTCCTCCTGGCTGACGTCCACAGGGGTCTCTTCTGGTTTCAGATCCTCATCTGACTCCTGCAGTGGACGCATGATACACATTTGGGGACTGTCAACTGAGTTCACCATGCTGCCCCAGGCCAGCCGTCCAGCTGGGCTAAGGCCGACCTTCTGAACCCAACAGGCTTCACACTGGACAAACGTGTTGGATGTTATGTGTGCAATTTTCCAGGAGAGAATTAATAGATTTCATGAAACTCTCAAAGGGTCCACGGCCTCCCTAGAAACACTATAAAAACCCTTACGTAAAGGTAAAGAAGAGAACTCCACACTTAGAGAAAGGCATCCTGCTGGGTATTTGAGGGATCTTGGTTATCAAATCATAAGTGATGGTTAAGCTTGTATACACTGGAGTTAGAAAGAACCAGATTCAAATCCGGCTCAACTACTCAATAGCTGTGTGACTTGGCCAAGTTCTTTGATGTCTCTGAGCCTCAGTCTCCTCATCTATACAATGGGAATAACCCATCTGTACAACAGACTGTTGCAAGAACTAAATGAGATCACTCGTGGGTGATTAGCAGGTACTGGTGCTCAGTGAACATTACTCATCATTTGTCAGAGCAGCACCAGGACATGGTCACCCTGTGGCTGTATGAAGGGCCAGGGATTAATTCCTCCACATTCCAGCAGCCTCTCCTCCTCCCAAGTTCCCAGTCAATAAAAGTTCTCGTCTTGGCTGGAGGACTGGCTGGGCTTTTTTCAGGGGCTCCCCTCTGACCACGTCTGTGCCTGTTCAGCAAAACGGCCTCTGCGCAGAGAAGAGTAAACGTTTTCTGAGACCTCAGCCCCTGATCACCAGAAAGTTCCATTTCCACTCCGAGTAATAACCACTTTGTCTCCAGCAGAAATGCGTGGGAGCAGAATACAAACCACCCCAGGCCACGCTCAGCCCAGATTGAACCCAAATCCATCTTTGAGATGTAAAGGTTATACATGTTGACCTGAGCGGGGGAAATAATTAAAAAATTTAATCATAGATGCCTTATCCACAGCAGCCAAGGAAAATCCTATAACCGGGGAGCTGAGAAGCAGAGAGAAAAGGCTGTTTCCTTGAATGCCCTGCATGCTTGCTTCCCTCTGTCATCCCCATACACCTGCAGGCAAAAACAGTAGGAACGTGGGCCCATTGACAGCTGCCAGTCACCCTCTGGAGCGCCAATTACCCCCCTTCCATTGGAAACCATCCAAAGGGGCGTGAGCGGCGGCCGGCAGCCGGCGGATGCGTTCAGCGAGCATTTCGCGAGCATTTCACGAGCATTTGCGCAAGAGAAAGAAAACGGAGCGTGCACCTGGCATGGGGGCCAGCAGGTGCCGCGGCCCGGCGCGCGCTGGCTTACTTGCGGAGAAGTTGGCCTCGGTGTGGACGGGAGGGGTGGAGGGCAGGAAGGGCGCGTGCCCCACAAAAAAGGAGCGGAGGGAGCGCTCCGAGAGCAGCGGGGAGCGCTGCTGCGAAGGGATGTTCTCGCAGCTGCCCACGCTGCTGTGGATCTTGAGGTTCAAGGGTTTGCTTTTCTTCTTGGCTCTGAAAGGGAGACAGAAAAAGAGGAGAGGAAATGTATCCACAGGCACACAACACGAGAGCAGGGAGACCCAACCTCCTTCACACGGCACCCGATATCCATCCCCACCTTGATCTGGCCCCTCGGCCCTCTGCATTCCCCCCTCACGGAGTCCAGCCACATCTTCTGCACTCTCTCTCACCTCCAACCCTTTGCTTATGCTGTCCCCACCGCCTGGAATACCCTTCCTTTCTTTGCCTGGTTAATCCCCATCTGTCTTTTATGGTGTCCTCTCCTCCAGGAAGACTTCCCTGATACCCCAATCCCTCCCAGCCAGGGCTGAGTGTTTCTTTCTCCAGGAAGCCTTCCATGACACCGCCCCTTCCCTCCTAGCCTGGGTGGGTGTTCCTCCTCAATTCTCCTAAAATATTCTAGATATCTCTCTGTGGCTGCACTTTCTATTTTTCCAAATTTGTTCTTTTAGCTTTCATCTCCCAAGAGGATTGTGGGTCTTTGGGGGCAATGATGCTGTATTGTTCATTTCTCTGTCCTTGGCAACTAGTACAAAGCCTGGCACACAGTAGGTGCTCATTAAATGATTATTAAATGACCATCTGGATTAAGACTGGCATTTATCATACTGCATTCTACTTCTGTATCTTCCACACTCGACTGTGGGCTCCTTGAAGGCAGGAATTTGTGGTTTTCGTTTTTAGGGCTCTCAGCCCCTAGCTCGGCACCAGCTGAATAGAATGAACCTCTTGAGGTGGTTTTGAAACGTTTCTCCCCTTCCCAAGGGGCTTAGGGGATCAGTTTAAGAGAGCCTGGTTTAAAACTGCGTGGAAAACTAACCTCACTGCTCTCCTCCCCTCTCCCTCCAAAGCCCCATTCAGGTCTGGCCAGGAGTTGGGCGCCCTCTTGTGGCCAAAGCGAACCCTCCTTGCAAATTTTCACAGTTCTGGGTAAAGTGCCCAGAAAGGTGTGTTAACCTGAGACTGGAGGCCTCCCACACCAGCAACCTAAAAGTCACCATCTCCAGGAGGCCTGCCGCCCATCGGCTTTAAGGAGTCCAAGTCTGCCTGCAGAGCCACAGGGTGGATGGATGGATGCTTATTGCCTCCCCAGGGGCCTGCGGCAAGGCCCAGGAAGCTGCTTCCTGTTAGGGCAGCACACGTTGGCTGGCTCTCCCTGGCCGTGGTTGGAGAAGAGAGGGAAGCAAGGAGGGGGTGGCATTTCATTCCACACGTGTGTCCAATGGTGGAGATTCAAAGAGGCGTCTACACCGAGGCGGTGTAACATAGGAGCTAAACTCGCAGGCTTCTGGGTCAGGGAGACAGGGCCTGGGGCCTGATGGTGACCTCAGGAAAGTGATCTTGCCTCTTTGTGCCTCAGTTTCCTCATCTGGACAATGGGGAAAATAATAGCACCTACCTAAGAAGGATATCGTGACAATTCTATGAGATCACCTGCTTGGCACAGGGCCTAGAAACAGAACGAGGGATCAAGTTACCTGTTATTAACGTCACTATGACCAGGTTGGATTGGGTGGCTATATGGCATGGAAAGAACCTTGAAGAAGCCAAAAATTGAAGCCAACCCATGTTTTTCATCAGAAACATCCAGCAACTCTCTAAACTCACTGCTACCCTTGGCAGATGAAGAGGATGCAGTCAGACTCTCTGGAAATAAATACCACTATCATCTTCAAAACTTGGATGGGAGCCTTGCAACACTGGGCCACCAAGTGATGAGGCCAGATCCTTTGTACAAGGGGAACCAAGTCTAACCCGGCACAAGTTTAACAGTAGCTCAATGACTGCAGAGAGGCAATTTGCTTTACCGCCTCATGGCCACAGATGGAGCAGAGAAGGGGTACATATAAATAAATGTTAGTTAGACAGATGGATAGATTAAAAGATGGATGGATGGATGGAAGGAAGGGTGAAAAAGTGGAAGGATGAAACGAATGAAGGACAGAGAGGATGGGAGGATGAGGGGATGGAAGCATGGATAGAAAGTATGGAGGATGAGAGGATGACAGAATGGGAGGACAAATGGATGGAATGAGAGAGAGAATGGGAAGATAAAATAATAGGTAAAAGGAATGGAGGAGGATGGGAGGATAGATGGAAGGAAGGAAAGGTGAAAAGGTCAAAGGATGGAAGGATGATGGATGGATGGAGAGATAGATGGATGTAATGAAGAAAGAGAGGATGGCAGGATGGACAGATGGATAGATGGAAGGGAGAAAGAGGGGACAGGAGGGAGAGAAAGTGGGAGGATAAATGGCTATCTGATCAGAGTAGGTGGAAGGGAATCCTATATTGCTTCCTACCCACCAAGGAAGTCTTCAGGGCCAGGATATGGGATTCACCTTTACCATCTGCGCTCATTACCCAGGCATGCTCAGAGGGGAAAACAGACACAAATGACTGTGTCTGATGACTCTGACTGTTCACTAAGATTTAGTGGCTATTTTGCAGTATATCCTTCAGATGCAATTAAAAAGAACATTCTTTCCATGATCTTTGCAGGATATTAGATATCTATCTGTCTTTTCTGGAAATGGGGACATTTCTGGGAAAAGCAGTAAAACTGGGTGGCACAAAACATTGGCAAGGGCAGCTCCATCCTTTGGGGCTGTGTCAGCCCTGGGTGGACCATGCTGCTTTCTGGATGGGAAAGCAAGTCAGGGCTCCCTGACATGGTGGGCTCTGCTGACAGCAGCCCCAGAGCCGGGCTGAGCTGAGGCTGCAACCCAGCTCTGGGGCCACAGTCTGTGCTTAGGACAATGCCCTTGTTTTACCAGGTACAGCAAAGGACTATTCCAGTGTTGGAATCTAGGAAAGTTCTTCCGATCTTCATGATGGCTAATTTGCATAGAATATCCGAACTAAAAGGATCCTGGGAATCCGTACCTGTTCAAATCGGCTCATTACTTTCTATCTCCAGCCCCACAGTTCTGGTCCAAGCCACCTTCTTGCCTCACCTGAGCTGTTGCTGCCTCTTAATTGGACTCCCAATCCCACTTTGTTTTTTTTGCTTTATTTTTATATTGAGGTGAAATTCACATAATATAAAATTAACCACTTGAAAGTGAACAATGCAGTGGCATTAAGTACATTCACAATATTGTGCAATTACCACCTCTATCTAGTTTCACAATATTTTCATCACCCCAAAAGGAAACCTTGTACCCATTAAACACTTACTCTCCATTCCCCTTCCCTCCAGTCCCTGGCAACCACCAATCTGTTTTCTGTCTCCATGGAGTTGCCTATTCTGGGTATTTCATAATGGAATTCATAAATGGAATCATACAATATGTGAACTTTCGCGTCTGGCTTCTTTCATTTAGCATCATGTTTTTGAGGTTTGTCCATGTTGTAATATGTCTCAAAACTTCATTCCTTTTTCCTCCCCCAGTTTATCGAGATATAATTGATATACATCACTGTGTAAGTTTAAGGTAAACAGCATAATGGTTTGACTTACACATACTGTGAAATGATTACCACAATAAGTTTAGTTGGCATTCATCATCTCATATAGATAAAAGAAAATGAAAAAGAAAAAAAAGAAAATTTTTTCCTTGTGGTGAGTACTCTTAGGACTTACTCTCTTAACAACTTTCCTATATATCATACAGCAGTGTTAACTATAGTCATCATGTTGTACATTACATCCCCAATACTTATTCATCTGAAAAAAATAACTGGAAGTTTGTACCTTTTGCCCATCTTCCTCTAATTCCTGCTCTCCCCACCCCCCCACCTCTGGTAACAACAAATCTGATCTCTTTTTCTATGGCTTTGTTTTTTTTTTTTAATTTCACTCATAAGTGAGATCATACAGTATTTGTCTTTCTCTGTCTGACTTATTTCACTTAGCATAATACACTCAAGGTCCGTCCATGTTGTCACAAATGGCAGGATTTCCTCATTTTTTATGGTTGAATAATATTCCATTGTGTGTGTATAAATATATATATAGTGTATATATATATATAGTGTATATATATATATATCACAACTGTTTTATCTATTAATCTGTTGATGGACACTTAGGTTGTTTTCATGTCTTGGCTATTGTAAATAATGCTGCTTTGAACATGAAGGTGTAGATATCTTTACAAGTTAGTGTTTTCATTTCCTTCGGATATACACCCAGAAGTGGAATTGCTGGATCATGTGGTAGTTCTATTTTTAATTTTTTGAGGATTCTCCACACTGTTTTCCATGGTGGCTGTACTAGTTTAAAATCCCACCAACAGTGCAGAAGGGCTCCCTTTTCTCTACATCCTTGACAGCATTTGTCATCTCCTGTCTTTTTGATGATGGCCATTCTAACAGGCATGAGGTGGTATCTCATTGTGGTTTTGATCTGCATTTCCCTAATGACTAGCGATGTTAAGCATCTTATCATGCACCTGTTCATTCCTTTTTATGGCTGAATAATCTCATCCCACTTTTGATTCTTTACAATGTATTCTCCACCTAACAGCTGAAGTGAGGTTTTATAAAGTATATATTGTATCATGTCACTCCCCTGCTTAAAAACTGCCATAGGTTTCCTGTTGTTCTCCCTTCCCGTGGCTTAGGAAGCTTCATAGGACCCTCAGCGCCCACTCTTCAACTTCTCCTTCTACCAGCATCACCTTGTCACCCCCTGACTCTAGCCACTCTGGTCATCTTTCTGGTCCTTGACCACACCAAGTTCTCATCTACATCAGGGCCTTTGCACATGTGTTCCCTCTGCCTGGGACACTATTCCCCACCCTGCCTGTTAGTGGAGACTTACTCATCACCTAGGAATCACTTCCTTAGAGACGCAGTCCTCAACCCTCAGAAGTAGTCCGATCTCCAGGTTACGTGCTCCGGATCTCCAGCCCCATCTGCTTTTTCTTCATAGAATGCATCCTAATTAGAATTCTGCATCTACTTATGTGGTTACTGAATGAGTGTCTGTTTCCTCCACGGCCTGTACCTGCCACACACACAGGAAGGGCCCGTATCCCGAGCAC